AGAAAGAAAGAGAGAGAGAGATGAGAGAGAGAGAGAGAGAGACGCACGAGGAGAGAGAGGAGAGAGAGAGAGAGAGAGGGAGAGAGAGAGAGAGAGAGAGAGCATGTTACTTGTGGCGAGTATGACCATTAAGCTCTTTGAGAAATTGATTTTCTTTCAATTTACCGAGAGTTGACATGATCCCACTTCAGAAGAAATCCAGCTGCACATGTTACCATCACTATGGTTTTATATATATATCTTACACACACGGATTAACATACACACGGCGCGATCCCTCGTTACACACACACACACACACGCTACACATACAAACACACACAACACACACACACACACACACATATATTATATATATTTATATATATATATATATATATATATATATATATAATATATACATATACACACACGCCTATAAATGCACACACGTAAACACAGCTTCCCTTTTTAACTCCAACTCCGAGACAGTCTAATCTCATCTTCCCGAAACCTCGTTATCTTTACTTAAGGAGTTAACGTCTCTTTGAACTCAAACAATTTTGTAACTCGGCCGGCGATTTAAAATCATCTGCTCAGAAACTTCTCGAACGAGGAAACTTGGAACGAGGCAATCCATGATGTGTGTGTGTGGGGGGGAGGGGAGAGGGGTTGGGGGGGGTGGGGAGGGAGGGAGGGGGGGTGCGTGTGTTTGGGAGGGGAGGGTGCGTTGTGGGGTGGTGTGTGTAATTGCGTGCATGTGTGTGTGGGGTGTGTGTGGGGGGGGGGGTGGTGTATGTTGTGTGTTGGGAGGGAGGTGGTGTGGTGTGTGTGTGTGTGGGGTGTGTGGTGTGCGTGTTGTGTGTGTGTGTGTGTGGTGTGTGTGTGTTTGTGTGTGTGCGTGCATGTGCGTGCATGTGCGTGCGTGCCAGCGTGTACGTGTGTTGTGCGCGTGCGCGCGTGCTTGTGTAAGCTATTGTATTAAACAACACAGCTACCGAATCATATGAATCACCATTTGCTTTCACTGCATTGTTTACCAAATCAAATATGCTGACTTTTTATTATGTCTCTAATGAAGTAAACAATAAAACAAAACCTCCTTTTCTCTAGAATAGAATTAAACCTTATTTTCAGCGTCAAGACTTCAGAGAGGTGAGCCATCCAGCTGATCATATGATAATCTGGAATAACTGTGATACTGTGATACTCCCCCATCCAATTTCTTAATGAATGGTACAATTTACTCACATCTCTCATTCCGCCGATGAGTAAGTGAATGAAACACACCTACATCTATATTAAATAACTCATTATAAAGATCGAGCACCTTGGAATTATCCGTTTTAATAAAAAAAAGTAATAATATTCTCGACATGTGAGATCAGACATTTCTCTCATCCTCGTTATTACAGAGTAGTTATTAAGGATATTAAAAAAAAAAAAAAAATAAGGGAGGATTTGTTTAAAATAGGGGAGGAAATGGAGTGACTTTTTTTTTTTCTTTTTTTTTTTTTGGAAAAGGGGGAGGAGGAACTGGGAAAATAATTTACACTTGGATGGGTCCGCGTATAAATGTTTGGTTCTGAACGAAATGGTGGTCTTGGGATTTCTTCCTAGCGGTCAACATGGTCGAAAATCCATTGGAAAACCATTGGAAATTCGCTGTCTCGATGATATACTTGGGAATTTTCTTTTCTTTACATTTAATTACACTTGGATAAACTATCTTTATATTAGGATTTGCTCCCAATGTTAACAAATTGAAAAAAAAACATAATGAAAACAATTATTATCTTATCAATCGTCAGCTGAATAAAATATTTGCTCTATAATTTGTTCCCATTATTGGCAATGTGAAAAAGTATAATGATGAAAATATTTATTAGTTTATCAGTCCTCAGCTGAACAAACTATAATTTGCTCTCATTATGTTGAGAAGGAGAGAAAATTGCATCACGATCACACGTGCACATGTGTAGATGTGACTGTTTGTGTGTGTGTAGGTGTTTGTGTATGTTTGTGTGTTTGTGTTGTGTAGGTTACTTGTGTAGGTACTTGTGTGTAGTAGCTTGTGTAGTGTTGTTTGTTTGGTGTTCGTGGGTGTCTTGTGTGTAGGTACTTGTGTGTAGATGTTTGTGTGTGTAGGTGTTTGTGTATGTTTGGGTGTTCGTGTGTGGGGTTTGGTGTGTGTAGGTACTTGTGTGTAGGTACTTGTGTGTAGATGTTTGTGTGTGTAGGTGTTTGTGTATGTTTGTTCGGTTTGTGTAGGGTATTTGTGTGTTTGTGTGTATGATGTTTGGGTGTAGTGCTTGTGTTGTTTGGTGTTCCGTGTGGCTGTACACTGCTGCGTAAGGACTTGGTGTGTAGATGTTTGTGTCTGTTTGTCATGTTTTGTGGTATATGTGTGTGCTGTTAGGGTGTTTGTGTGTGTATTACGGTCACTTGTGTGTAGAGTCTGTGTGTGTAAGGTCACTTTGTTGTAGGTCTGTGTGCCTGTATTTGTTTGTTGTTACGTGTTGGTAGGTGTCTTGTGGTATACTTGTGTGTAGGTTTTGTGTATAGATGTTTGTGTGTGTAGTAGCTTGTGTATGTTTGGTGTTCGTGTTGTGTGTGTCTTCTGTAGGTACTTTGCCGGTAGATGTTTTGGTTGTGTTGTAGGTGTTTGTGTTGTACGGTGTGTGGTAGCGTGTTTGGTTTGTAGTAGGTACTGTGTGTAGGTGTTTGTGTATAATGTTTGTATACTGTGTGTAGGTGTTTGTGTATGTTTGGTACCTGTTCGTTGTCGTGTGTAGTACTTGTTGTTAGGTGTTTGTGTATAAGATGTTTGGTGTGTATGTATGCTTTGTCTATGTTTGGGTGTTGTGTGTTGCTAGGTACTTGTGTGTTAGCGGGTACTTGTGTGTAGATGTTTTGTACGTGTTTGGTAGGTGTTTTGTTATTGGTTTTGAGGTTCGTGGTGGTTGTAGGTAACTTGTAGTACTTTTTGTAATCCGGAGATTTTGTGTGTGTAGGTTTTGCAGTTGTGTTTGGGTCGTGCCTGTGTAGGTACTTGTATGTAGGACTTGTGGTATGTTGGGTGTGTACGGTGTTGTGTATTTTCGCGGTGTCGTGTCGTGTGTAGGTACTTGTTACTGGTAGATGTTTGTTTGTAGTGTGTGTTGTGTGTTGGGTCTTCGTCGTGGCGGTGTGTATACTTGTGTGTAGGTACTTTGGATACGATGTTTGTTGTGCTGTAGGTGTTGTCGTGTTGTAGGTGTTTGTTGTGTGTAGACTTTGTGTAGGTGTTGGTTTGATGTTTGTGTGTGTAGTGTTGTGTGATTTGGTGTTTGTGTGTGATTGTAGGTACTTGTGTGTATGTCTTGTTATTGTGAATGTGTTTGTTTTAGGTGTGTGGTAGTTGTGGTATGTTGTGTTTGGGTGTGTAAGGTACTTGTGTGTAGGTGTTTCTCAGCTACTTAGTGGTTGAGTGTGCTGATGTAGCGTGTTATGTTGTTGTTGGTGTTTGTGTGTTGTAGTACTTGTTGTACGGTACTTGTTGTTGTAGATGTTTGTGTGTGTAGGTGTTGTGCTAATTGTTTGGTGTTCGCTGTGTGTTGTAGTTGTACTATGTATGTAGGGTCTACTTGTGTGTGTAGGATGTTTGCACTGTGTGTAAGGTGTTTGTGTGGTCTGTGGGTTGTTCGTGATCTGCTTGTAGGTACTTGTGATGTAGGGTACTTGTTGTAGCATGTTGTCGTGTGTATTGTTTGTGTGCTGTAGTGTTTGGTGTTAGTGTTTGCGGTGTGTAGGTACTTGTGCTGTAGGGTGTTTGTGTATCGATGTTGTGTGTGTAGGTTACATGTTTGATCATGTTGCGTGTTCTGTGTGTGCTTGGAGGTACTTGTGATGTATCGTGTGTGGTTGTAAGTTAATACTGTCGTTAGTGTAGGTGCTGGTTAGGTTCTGTTCTGTGAATGTTCTGGGTGTGTTCACTGTGTGATAAGTACTCGGGGATAAGATGTGTGTGTAACGGTGTTTGTGTATATGCTATTGGGTGTATGTCATGTGTACATTACTTGTGTGTGTGTTTGTGTTTAGTAGGATTATGGAGGTATTGTTGATATAAACCTGAGTTTAATAAAATGCGAGAAAGTTAGAATAGATAATGCAGTCAAACTTAAATAAATAATAATAAACAATAAACAACTAAATTAGCAAATGAAATGAAATGGTCTGATTACAGCCCAGACAATCATCTAGAAGTGAACTGAGTGTCTATCAACATATCAAATACTATCTGTTTCGCTGCTTAACCTCTTCTAAATATCTAAACAATAATGATCGATTAAAACATTAACTCGCCTACACCACCCCAACGCTGGAATTGCTTATTATCCCATATTATCAAACACCCAAAACAAACACCTTAACACATGATAATACACAACACCACACATAAATGCAAGACTAACTCATGACAGACCCGGGCAAACGCCACACGTTTAACACCACCACAGCCACAGGACCGACACACACACACACATGCACATTCACCACACATATTTACCGCACACACACCACACACGCATGCCATTCACCACACATGATAATTTAACGCAAACACACACGACAACATGCACTTCACACACACATATTTACCGCAAAAACACCACACCACACACTATGCACATTCACACACACATATTTACGCACACACACACACAAATTCACATACAAATACGTCCACCTAAAAGGCATCTGCTAAATCCATCGAGAATTGCAGCCCCCACACTCACCTACACACAACGCACACGCACACACACATAAAACAACATAACAATACAACAACACTCTCCCCTCTCCAACTACGCAGAAAAACACACAAACTGATAACCCCCGTTCGTTCCTCACACACACACACACACACACACGATTCACTCACAACCCCGCCCTCACACCCCACAACCCTCCCATACCCCCTCACCCCCCCTAACCCCCCTATACCAACCTCCTCCCTCTCCCTTCCTCATGTCCCTCACCCCATAATCGAGCCATAAGCCACGCGTTGGTGCCAGTCATGAGGTAGATCTGAGAGCCAGGCGCCGCCGTGAGGGACGAGGGGGGCGGCACGCACTTCAGGAGACCACAACGACCCGTCCCAGACGACCCCACTAGCGGCGAGAGGGTGTGGGTCGTGGCGGCGTCGTCGTCGGAGGTGGCGTTCCTGCTGCTGTTGTAGAGGTCGTACTGTGGGAGGCGGGGTTGCAGTGAGGAAGTCGGAATGGGGTTTTGGGTCTCTTTTTTTTTGTCCCCTTTTTATCTGTCTCTGTCTCTCTCTCTCTCTCTCTCCTCTCTCTCTCTCTCTCTCTCTCTCTCTCTCTCTGCTCTCTCTCTCTCTCTCTCTCTCTCTCTCTCTCTCTCTCTATATATATATATATATATATTATACATTACATGCATATACAATATATTATATATATATATAATATATATATATTATATATATATATATATATATATTATATAGAGAGAGAGAGACATGGAGAGAGAGAGAGATAAGATATATATATATATATAATATAATATACTATATATATACTATATATATATATATATAGATAGCTAGGAAGAGAGAGAGAGAGAGAGAGAGAGATAGAGCAGAGAGAGAGAGAGATAAAAGATAGACAGATAGATAGATAGAGAGATAAATAGATAGATTTTCAATTAAATATATATGCTTCCACATATATATAAAAATATGAAATTCTGGATTTTACATCAACTCTACTATCAATCATGTAATCCTTAAGTTGGGTTAAAGTCCAGAAATTAGGAAACCACAGAAAATTAGAGTATTTGTCATTATTTGTCAGAACCATTTTTCTCTTTTCTCTCTCTCTCTCCATTTTTTTATTGACTCTGGCACGGAACGTAATTATCATCGTTGCTTATATTATTGGAAATATTTCGATGAAATGTTAATCTAAAGAAGAAAAAATCGTGATGCAATTACAGAATTAACGACATAGTCATCAAAAAAAAAAAAAAAAAAAAAAAATCATTGCCGACATGATAATAATTGAAAAAAAATATATTATAATGAAAGCAAAATGCAAGTAATACATCACATAAAAAACATAACAAAAATGATACTGCAGATAAAAAATAAACATAGCAAAATCAAGGAAACAGATGTTGATAGTGAAAATGATGATGATAGTGATGACTATAATGATAATTATAATGATAATGATAATAATAATGATAATGATAATAATAATGATAATAATAACGATGATAATAATAATCATATTAACTAATAATAATGATAATTATAATGATGACGATGATGATGATAATAATTATATTGATGATGAAGATGATGATGAACATAATTTTGATTTTGATGATGATAATGATAATGAAAAAAAAAAAAAAAAAAAAAAAAAAAAAAAAAAAAAAAAACTAAAATAACAACAACAAAGCCCAGCCCCCCCCCCACCACAACCCCTCTAGCCCCCGAGCACCACCCACATAGGAGGCGTCGACGATGGGCCGCCACACGAATCCCCGGCAGGCGCTCCGACCCGCGTTGAAGCACCTGAAGCCACAGTCAGTCACCGTCAGGCCGTTCTCCCTCCCGCCGGCGGCCGTGGTGTCCAAGTCGTCGGCCACCCTCAGGAAGGAGGCGGCGGCTTCTCCCAGGGGCGTCAGCAGGAGGAGGAGCAGCAGGAGAGGAGAGGAGGGGGGTATGGTGGGGCATGGTTGGGGGTGGGTGGGGGGAGGATGTAGGGGGATAGGGTGGAGGATGGATGAGGGGGTGGGGGGGGTGGGGGAAGGGGAGGAGGGGAGGAGGACGAGGAGAAAGACGAGAGGCGAGGATGAGGAAGAGAAGGAAAGGACAAAAATAAAAGGAGGATAAGGAAGAAGAGGAGGAAAAGGAGGAAACAGGAGTCTCTTCTCCAAGGCCGGACGGGACAGGAGCTAAACGGGAGCCCGGATAGGACGTCAAGGAGCAGGAGGAGGAGCAGGAGGATGAGGAAGAGACCGAAGAGGTCCTCACTGCCAGGACGAGACCCAACTGCCGACTGGGTGAAGGTGGTGCCTCTGAGGAAGAAAACGTTGCGAAGATTAAATATTACGTTTGTGCTTTCTTTCCGAGGCGCTGATTGGCTAGGCTAGGTACTTTGCGCAGCCAATCACCGACTCGGAATGGAGCTGCATTTCCCACATGAAGCTAATAATGTTCTTTCTTTTCTGTGACTGTGTAATATGTGCCAGATTACGAAGCGAGGGCTGATATAAGTTTAAATCATTTTCTTTTTAAAATTCATATTGAGAAAGAGGAGATGTAGAGGGAGAAGAGGAGA